GACCTCTTTGGGATCATTTTGTTTGAGACTGTGTGCTTCTTAGACCTGCATGTCTATTTCTTTCACCAGGTTAGGAAAGTTTTCCATTATTTTTTCAAATAGGTTTTCAATTCCTTGCTCTCTCTTCTCTCCTTCTGGTAACCCTATGATATGAATGTTGGTATGCTTGATGTTGTCCTAGAAGCCCCTTAAACTAACCTCATTCTTTGGGATTATTTTTCTTTTTGCTGTTCTGATTGGGTGTATTCTGCTACCTTATCTTCCAAATTGCTGATTCAATCCTCTGCCTCATTTAATTTAGTTGATTCTCTCTAATGTATTCTTTTTTTAAAGATTTTATTGGGAAATTGGGGGAGAGGAACAGCGTGGGGAATCGGGGAAGGGGAACAGACAAGTTGCTGTCCTTTTGTTCTTCAGTCTAGCTGTGGAGGACATCGCTTCACTGGCCCATGTTGTTATTATCATTGCACTCTTCCCGGGTGAGGCAATTGATCACCGGCCATTGGACGGTCGCTCACAGCAGCTCATGGAAGCTCATGAAAGCTCACGCCCGCTGCCAACTCATAACCAACGCACCACTTGGCCGGCCCTCTAATGTACTCTTTATTTCAGTTATTGTATTCTCCATTTCTGACTGGTTTTTCATTTTGTTTGCTATCTCTTTGTTGAAATTCTCACTGAGATCATTGAGCATCCTTATAACAGGTGTTTTGAACTCTGCATCTGGTAGATTGCTTGTCTCCATTTTATTTAGGTTTTTTTTTCTGGAACATTGTTTTGTGGTTTCAATTGGGACATTTTCTTTGTCTCCCCATTTTGGCTGCCTCCCTGTGTTTGTTTTTATATATTAGGTAGTGCTGCTGTGTCTCCCAGTCTTAATAGAGTGGGCTTATGTAGTAGGTGCCCTGTGTGGCCCAGTGTGCAGTCTTGCTGATGACCTGAGCCAGGTGCTCAAGGTGTGTCCCTTGTGTGGGTTGTGTGTGTCCTCTTATAATTGAGCCCTGGTTGCTGTTTGTACATTATTGGGAGGGAAAGATCCTGAGGGCTGATTGGTTGTGAGTACTGGCTGTGACTATAGTGAAGGAGCAGTTGTGCAGTGGCTGACCCTACAGAACAGGATTCACTTTAGCAGGGCTCTGGTGCCTGCCCAGTCTGCCCTTTGGGTGTGTCTTTTTGTGGAAGTGGTTGTGTGGTGCTCTGATGTGGTCTGAAGCTGGCCACTGAGTACATTAGTTTTGGGGCCTCTTGAGTGGGGCTCTGTTGCAGGTCAGGTCAGCCTCTGCTAGTGCCTTGCCCATGGCCACTTGGTATGAGGTACAAAGTGATCTGCAAATGGTTGCCACTTGTGCTGGGCTTGGAGGTGCCTGGGAGAGGCTAAGTTATGAGCCAAGGTCAGCTGTCACTAGTGCCAGGCTTGGGTCTGCTTAGCAAGAGTACAGGGCATGTTGAGAGGTCAGATGCTGCTTGTTTGGGGTTTGTGAACATTTGAGAGATTTTAGGAAAGTCTGTAGCATGAGCCAAGACAGGCTTTTTTTTTTTTTTTCCTGGAGAAGCCACTGGAAGCGGGCTTGGGTGGGCCCACAAGTTGGATGAGTTGGAGTCTCAGGGAATTATTAGGGTGAAACTAAAGGTCTTAGCCAGGTTGATGGAGATTCAGATATGGCACCTGCCTGCATCTGCACCCTGGGTGGGGAAGGGCTCAACAAAGGAACAACACCTTCTGCTAGCACCTCTCTCTGGAAGGAAGCTACACTTCCAGGTGTAGCCCTGAAGCCAGACAGTTGAGTTCATCCTCATATGTTACTGGCGCTGGTGCCTTTTGAGCTGCTGTCCCAGCACTGCAGCTCAGAGAGAGTAAGTCCATCAGTGTGTAAGTCTGTGCATGGACCGTTTAAGAGGAACACCTGGGACTCCAGCAGCCCTCCATTTCACTCAGCCACAATCTCCTACTAGAAGTTGTGGAGACTTCACTTCCCAACTAGAAGTTGTGGAGACTTTCACAACTAGAAGTTGTAGAGACTTCACTTCCCAGCACTGGATCCCTGGGCTTGGAACCTGGTGTGGGGCTGGAACACTTTACTCCTCAGGGCATCCTCTGCAGCTGAGATATTCCTCCCAATTTTTAACTGCCACATGTGGGTGTGGGGACCACCCTGTTCTACGTCTCCACCCATCCTACCAGTCTCATTGTGTCCTCTTCTGTATGTCCTTAGTTATAGGATTTCTGTTCAGCTAGATTTCAAACGATTCTCAATGTTGGTTATTCTATAGTTTAATTGTAATTTTGATGTGGTCGTGAGAGGAGGTGAACACAGCATTTACCTAATCTACCATCTTTTAAAATTTAATTTAATTTAAAATTTTTTATTAAATGTATTGGTGTGGCATTGGTTAGTAAAATTATGTAGGTTTCAAGTGTACAATTCTATAATACATCATCTACATATCACATTGTGTGTTCACCACCCAGAGTCAGTTTCCCTTTCATTACCATATATTTGACCTTCTTTACCCTCTTCTACCACCCACCTTACCTTCTGATAGCCACTAAATTGTTGTCTGTGTCTATGAGCTTTTGTTTGTTTATTTGTTGCTTTCAGTTTTATATCCCACATATGAATGAAGTCATATGGTTCTCGACTTTTTCTGTCTGACTTATTTTGTTTAGCATGATAATCCCAAGATCCATCCATGTTGTCACAAATGGCAGTATTTCATCTTTTCTTATGGTTGGGTAATATACCATTGTATACATGTACTACATCTTCTTTATCCAATCATTTATTGAAGGACACTTTTATTGTTTCCATGTCTTGGCCTCCATTAATAATACTGCAGTGTACATAGATCTTTATGGATAAGTGTTTTCAGATTTTTGGGGGTAGATAGCCAGAAGAGGAATTGCAGGGTTGTATGGTAATTCTAGTCTTAATTTTTTGAGGAATCTTCATACTGTTTTCCATAGTGGCTATACCAATTTACATTTCCACCAGCAGTGTATGAGGGTTCCTTTTTCTCCGCAGCCTCTCCAACACTTGTTATTGCTTGTCTTGTTGATAATAGCCATTCTAACAAGGTGTGAGGTGGTATCTAATTGTGGTTTTGATTTGCATTTCCCTAATAGCTAGTGAAGTTGAGCATTTTTTCATATATCTGTTGGCTGTTTGTTTGTCTTCTTAGGAGAAGTGTCTGTTCAGGTCCGCTGCCCATTTTTTTTTTTAAAAAAATTGGATTTTTTTTTGTTGTTGTTGAGTTGTATGAGTTCTTTATATATTTGAATATTAGTCCCTTATCTGAGGTGTTGTTTGCATATACTTTTTCCCATTTGGTTAGTTGCCTCTTTTATTTGGTGATGGTTTCTTTTGCTGTGCTGAATCTTTTTAGTTTGACATAGTCCCATTCATTTATTTTTGCTTTTACTTCTCTTGCCTTTAAGGTCAAATTCATAAAATCCTCTCTGAATCCAAGGTCCATAAGTTTAGTACCTATGCTTCCTTCTATGTATTTTATTGTTTCAGGTCTTATGTTTAGGTCTTTGATCCATTTTGTGTTAATTTTAGTATATGGTGACAAATAGCAGTCATTTCATTCTTTTGCATATAGCTTTCTAATTTTCCCAGCACCGTTTATTGAAGAGACTTTCTTTTCTCCATGGTATGGTTTTGGCTCCTTTGTCTAAAATTATCTGCCCATATATATGTGGGTTTATTTCTGGCTTCTCAGTTCTATCCCATTGGTCTGTGCGTCTGTTTTTCTGCCAATACCATGTTGTTTTGATTATTGTCACTTTGTAGTACAAATTGATGTCAGGGAGTGTGATAACTCCAGCTTTGTTCTTTTTTCTTAGGACTGCTTTAGCTAGTCCATTGCTCTGCCATCTTGACCAGACTTTCATGCATTCTTATCAGAGGTAATAAGGGGCAAAAATTTGTTCCTGGGGGTGAACAAAATTTCACTCCTTTTATGTTTAAAGCACAGATATACATACACTACTTAAATAGATATACAGTTTATCTGTGATATTACAAGTTCATGGGGAGGGGATAAGGAAAAAAATTGGAAAAGGCTTCTTAGGAGGGATGATAATACAAAAAAGTTTGATAACACTGCTCTAGTTCAATGTTTTAGTTTTGATTCATGCACCTTCCTCAGGAAAAATGACATGTGTGGCTTTTTAAAGCTGAACCACAGAATTAAGCAGCTCTGGACATATAGAGGGAAAGCATTTGGAAGCTGGCAATAGCTAAGAATATGATATACAAAAGACTTAGAACTGATGTCAGTCTGTTAGCTATAACTGCTAAGCAAATGCAAAGGAACTCAGCCAAGATCACTGTCAGTGGAAGCACCACAATTTCTAAGTAGAAGGGGCTTGGGGGAAGGGTCTTTCTTTTGCAAAAAGGGCTTGAAGCTATGTTGTCATGTATCTTTATATGAGATTGAGGAGTTGTCAGTTATTGAATGTGGTTAAGTTAAAGCCTTCTAAGTCATTCCCAGACACACACATTTGAATAAAATTTTCTCTTCTCAACTCCTGAATATCCTTTTTCTTGAGATTGTCTGGCCTCTCACTCTGACCTCCCACTTGTTTAGAGAAGACTGCACATCTTGATTTGCTTGCCACTGCACATCCATGATGGGGAAATAATGAACAGCCCCTGATCCAGAATCTAAAGATTGTTTCTACTTCATACAGCCAGTTAAAAGGAAAGTTTTAAAGTAAAAAGTCCAACAAATACATTATTTTTAAAAAGTTTTTCTTTTTAAAAAATTTACTTCATTTTTCCCCTCAATCTAGTAAAGAACAAATTGAGGTTTGGGAAATGAGTGACTAAGAGTCCCTAAGAGTCATTGTCTGTTTCTTCTATCAAAAAAAAAACCCCATTTGAACTCAGTACTCAGTATAGAGAGTGAGAGATAGAGCTGGTGTTCACAGGAAGCCACATGCCCTTCAAAGGGACCTGTCTTTCTTAGTGCTGCTTCTTGAGCAAGTCTAGCACTGCCTCACAGACCTTCCTCAGAGCCACTTTCAGAAAAGCAAGGTAAGTGGGGATGGGGCTATTTCCAGGGCTTCAGGCCATGCGCGGATTTCTACACAGTTGTGTGAACTTTGGAAGCACTAAAAGCTGGCTAGCCACTCACCTGGTCCTAGCACTCAGGCATCATGGCCACTCTAGTGCTCACATTTGGCTCCTATCTTGGATCACACAGGATCTATCTACCGGTACTCACACCCTCTGAGCCCTCATCTGATGGGCATTCATTTATGCAGGACTTTCTCCCTGCACACATCTGGCCTAAGTCCACATGCTTGCAACACACAGACAATTTTCATTCAACATATAAACTTTTCTGCTTCTTGTTTCTATTAAGACTCTGAGGTGAAAAAACACCGCGCAAAAAAGGACTACAGACTAATGTGAAACTTTTACCAGCTGTGTTTACTTTTGTTTGTTCTTCTGCTAATTTCTTAACTCCTCAGCCTCTTTTATTCTTTAATTATCCCTGGCAAAATGGTGCAGAAAGACTAGAATTGTTATTCTGTTTTTTTAATTTAATTTTATTTTTTGAGACTCTGAAATACCTCAGGTCTTCAGCATCCATTTACAGGAGTAAATCAATATCTCTCTCTTGAGAAACACATAGTTTGGTGTTTGGATATACACTAATGAGGGGGGGGGGATAGGGAGTAGATGTGAATGACTGAGCAATGTGAAAAGGGTCTTAATAAGGAATCTCATAGTGCCAGTGAGAAGGAAGAAGGAGAAGGCACTCATCCCTGCATTGCTGCGATTCACATGTGAACGTGTGTGACTGTAAGGTTTTAACCTCTTCATCTGCCAACTGAGATAGGAAACAAAAACGGTTGTGAGCATGTGTGTAAATTTACGTTTTAACCTCGTGCCAATTTAGATAGGAAATGGTGGTTGGAGAGGTAGAGATTTTATTTCTGGCTCCGATGTGACTTTTCTACGTCTGTCACGCTAATAATACCCACTCTAATAGGATTCAGTGCATAGGATTGATTTTCATATGTGGTTCTGATGAAAACACTAAAAATTTCCCTCAATTTACCCAGCTGAAAACTGCAACCTTCCGATGGGCCTTGACAACAGATTTGCTGCATTGACATCAAATATAGGCTCAGGAGAGGGTAGCCACCCAGGCCTGGAAGGCCTGGCATGTTCCCGCCTAAGATGAAGTTCTAGAGCGAACATGGAACCTGGCAGTGGTGTGTTGGAGCCTCCTTGCATCAACTCTCAAGAGCTGATTGTTAAATATAAAGGAATTTTGTGAGGCAGCTGGTAGCTTGACCTTGGTCATAGTGGGGGTATGTACACCACGGAAACCAGCAAAGCCATAAATCAGAGCCCTCCCAACCCGCCCCTCCCATATCCCCCATACTTGGGACTGGGGCCTGAAGAGCAAGTTCTGTGCATAGCTGTGTGCTCTTCAGAAGTTGTTTAACCTCTCTGAATCTTTCATGAGTCACCTACACCATGGCTCAATATTCTTCCTTAGTTCAGAGCACCAGATTTTTGTTGGGGGTGGGGGAGACAGGAGCATGGGAGTGGGATTAAATGGGCAATCCCAGTGAACGTGCTTTGAAATCTATAAAGTACAAAGCATGCAGGAGCAATTAGAATTTTTATATAAAGGCAAGGTCAACCTGGTTTCCTTTTAGCTTAAGGACTACCTAAGCAAGTACTGAATTTTTGGAGTTACACTCTGAAGGGGAAACATAAGTAGATTTTTAAAAAATCTTTTTTTTTTTCTTGCCTTTATGTCAGAAAGGCCCTCAGTGCAGTGCTGTTGGGTGATATCATCTGGCCTTGTCATTCCTGCAAGTGATTTCAGTAACCCCAGGCTATCTTTTAGAAATACATCCTTGAGAAACATCTCCTTGAAAAAGTGGTTTTACTATGCCCACTTAACAAATGAGAGAACTGAAGCTCCCAACAGAGGAGAAAAAAGGAGTGGCAGAGCTGGAATTTGGAATCTGTCTGACCCCAGAGGGCAGAATCATTTCATCTGGCTGCCCTGCCCTGCAAGGAGTTGAACCTTCCAATTTGGGAAGGTTGGAAAGGATGTAGAACGCTCTAGGGCAAAAACAGTAAGCAGCTGTGCTCCGCATTCAGCACTGTTTTGATTTGTTTTTGTTCTTACAGAAATCTTGTTTGCTCTTCCCCTCGTTAGCTTCTCTGGTGGGTCTCAGAGCTGCCTTGAGGAGCCTGGAGATTTGAAAATGAACCCCACAGATATAGCAGACACCACCCAGGATGAAAGCCTCTATAGCAATTACTATTTTAATGAAAATATCCCCAAGCCTTGCACCAAAGAAGGCATCAAGGCATTTGGGGGGCTCTTCCTGCCTCCACTCTACAGCTTGGTCTTTCTGTTTGGCCTGCTTGGCAATTCCATGGTGGTTCTGGTTCTGTTCAAGTACAAGCGGCTAAGGTCCATGACCGACGTGTACCTGCTCAACCTTGCCATCTCGGACCTGCTCTTCGTGCTCTCCCTCCCTTTCTGGGGCTATTATGCTGCAGACCAGTGGGTTTTTGGACTAGGTCTCTGCAAGATTATTTCCTGGATATACTTGGTGGGCTTTTACAGTGGCATATTCTTCATCATGCTCATGAGCATCGATAGATACCTGGCAATCGTGCACGCGGTGTTTTCCTTGAGAGCGAGGACCGTGACGTACGGGATCATCACCAGCTTAGCCACGTGGTCAGTGGCTGTATTTGCTTCTCTCCCCGGCCTTTTATTCAGCACTTGCTATACAGAGCGCAACCACACCTACTGCAAAACCAAGTACTCATTCAACTCCACGAGGTGGAAGGTCCTGAGCTCCCTGGAGATCAACATTCTAGGATTGGTCATCCCCTTGGGGATCATGCTGTTTTGCTACTCCATGATCATCAGGACCTTGCAGCACAGTAAGAACGAGAAGAAGAACAAGGCGGTGAAGATGATCTTCGCCGTGGTGGTCCTCTTCCTGGGGTTCTGGACGCCATACAACATAGTGCTCTTCCTGGAGACCCTGGTAGAGTTAGAGGTCCTTCAGGACTGCACCTTTGAGAGACACCTGGACTATGCCATTCAGGCCACCGAGACCCTGGCTTTTGTTCACTGCTGCCTTAATCCAGTCATCTACTTTTTCCTGGGGGAGAAATTCCGCAAGTACATCATACAGCTCTTCAAAACCTGCAGGGGCTCTTTTGTGCTCTGCCAATACTGTAGGCTCCTCCAAATTTACTCCCCTGACACCCCCAGCTCCTCTTACACGCAGTCCACAGTGGATCATGATCTAAATGGCGCTCTGTAAAAATGCAAAACACAGAGTAAGTTTCCCAAATGAAGAGCTTTCTTAAAGTTGTATTATAGTAAGAGTTCCCTGAGCAAGTGTCAGGAAGACGTACATCCACTGCAGAAAGTGGGGCTTCTCACCCTGCAGTCAGCTTTTCCTCTTGCCACATAACAGGATCAGTGGGGCACAAGTTCCCCCCCACTGAGGCGTCCTCCCGGACACCAGGCTGTCCTGCCGGGATAAGTGAACTTGAGGAGCATTCTGAGCAGTGTTTCAAAGCGGTGATAGGTAATATTTGAAGGGGAAGACCCTTCCCTTCTTACAGGAACTGATGGAGTTCTCCTGAGGGAATCGGAGTGAATTGACTGGTGGAGTAAATTGCTGCTTCCTGCTGTGAAATACAGGCCCTTTAATTAATTGCTAGCTTTTGTGGAACAATATAGAAAACTTGGACATGCTGCCTTAGTGTTTTTTTTCCTAATAATATATCTGAAGCCAGGTATAGTCCATGAAGCCAAGTGTACGCAGAAATGAATGGTGAAGTAATGAATTTAGATCTTGATGCTTTTATTGTAAAGGATTATTTGTTAATGGAAGCCATACTTTTTATGTCGATTCCAAGTGTAAGACTGTAAAGGCATTAGCATGGTCTGAGTTCCAAACTTGAAATACGAGGCATTAAAAAATCCAAACATACTTGTAGAAATTCAAATAGTTATATATGCTTGTGGACATGTATTGTTTTAATTAAAACAGGTGAATATTCAAATTGTAAAAATAATACATAGTTTCAGATACATTTATTTGGGGTCTTTTACTTATTTACAAACAATGCCTTCAAAAGTAAAAATAATGAGGACTATTAAAGTATGACAATGCTTGCTTTATCATTTTGAAGTGCCTTCCATCATGTGAGGTAGGAATAATCAACTAAAAGTCATTGCTGATGTGGCATAAAAATGACTGTCAAAAAATTATGAAATTGTATGACCCAGCAATTCCACTCTTAGGTATTTATCCAGAAAAACCCAAGACATTAATTCGAAAAAATATAGGCACCCCTACGTTCATTGCAGTGCTATTCACAACATCCAAGACTTGGAAACAGCCGAAATGCCCATCGGTAGACGACTGGATTAAGAAACTGTAGTACATTTACACAATGGAGTATTACTCAGCTATAAAGAAGAAGGAAATCGTACCATTTGCAACGATATGGATGGACTTAGAGAACATTATGCTAAGTGAAATAAGTCAGTCAGAGAAAGACAAATACCATATGATCTCACTTATATGTGGAATCTAAAGAACTGAATAAATGAGAAATGTAAACAAATAGTCCCAGAGACACAGAGGAAAAACAGGGTTGCTAGTTGGGAGGGGGTAGGGATGAAAGAGAAGGGGAAGGGACGAGACAATACAAATTGGTAACTACAATATGGCCTCAGGGATAGAAAAGACAGTCTGGGGAATATAATCAATAATGTTGTAAATATTTTTTAGGGGGCCAGATGGACTCATGTCTTGTTAGGGAGACCACTTCAGACGGTGTAGAGGCCTGACCACCACACTGTAGTTCTGAAGCTGATGTTGAATAATATTGTATGTCAACTATAACTATATATACATATAGTCACAGGATGTGGAGTAGAGTGTGGGAATGAAGTCAATGGAATTGTAATAGATATGTATGATATCAGGGGTGGGAGGGCAGTGGATGGGGAAGGGGGGTTGTTACTTTGTGAGGGGTGAAACTAATAAAAAAAAATTATGAAATTGTGAAAAGTGTCATCCTTTCTTCTAAAATACTAGCCCTGGATGACTAAACTTTTGGATGACTAAAAAGTGCAGTCATTTCTTACAAGTCATTTTAATTATGTAATTCATCATTTTACACCAGTAAGAGAAAGCTCTGTTCTTACAGCCTTAATTAATCACAATCAAGTAAAGACTTTAGCAAAGTCCGGGCATACCTGTAATATAGGGGTACTTGTATCCCCTCCGAAAACAAAAACCTATCTTGCAAACCATTAACTGCGTTACCCAGTTTAAAGTGCTTCTGTAAGTTTACACATTATCACACGCTCTACATTTATAAAGAATGCATTTTCAGACAATTTCTTTCCTGGAAAGTGATTTTAAAAGGGGATGATGATGTTGCCTTAATAGAAAATAGACTTGCCTGTATCCCACAGAGCCTGTTTTCCTGATCTGATGCAGATGGGATAGGAAGCTGCTGACGGCCTCAGGGCCTCGCTTAACCATCTTCACCACAGTGTCTCACGACTGGATCATAAGGACGAACCCAAGGGAAGGAATCAGAGGGTGTGTGTGCTCTTAAGATCTTCACTTGGAGTGGGGAATGGAGTCGCTATGGTGTTCTAGTGCACTAGGAGATTCGAGTGGATAAGAAGTGAGAAGTGCGGGCCGGCTGAGTGGCGCGATG